AATTTGCTTTCAGAAGGCATCATCCACATCTCTTCCTTGTTTAGGAAGACAATAATAGACACCAACAATACTATGGCTTTTATTTGTTCTTGCACTTATTTAACCCAGGTCCTCTCTGTAGCATTGCCAAATCTTAGATGCTTGGATTTCTGAGCAGGAGTGGATTTTTTTTTCCATTCAGGGTAACTTCTTGTCTCTTTCTCTTTACTTTCTCTCTTTACTATTACTTCTATTTTCTGTTAATTCTGTTCTTTTTGAACTAAGGGCATTGTTCAATTGCTGCATTCCAGTCATGGGAGTTATCTCACCAAGTCTCCATTATGCGCACTGAACCATATTTTCCCTTCTTGACTAACAGCTCGAGATTATCTTGCTTATTTACCATACTCTGAGTTTTGGTGCATAAACAATAATGAAATTTATTAGCCAATGCGCTTTCAGTGAGTAGTTTCAGCCACACTCACAGGGCTATTACTTCTTCCTCCTCCTCCTCAATATTCAACCCAGCCAATTACAAGCTCTGGACTTAGAGGAACGTTTGTTAGGGATGCCCCTTCCTCAGCAAACGCGTGCACGGTCTCCCTCTTCGCTTGCTCAGTGAGCTTGCTCCCTGGAATGTGGCATTCTTTTCTCACAGACTCTTACAATCTCTTATCCCCACCCAAGGCAACATTTTTCATGATGCAGTACCTGTCCAGGATCCCAGCTGGAAGAAAGCAACAAGCAAAGCAGGTAGCATGGAAACAACAACAGCGGACAAACTGAACCCTAGCATTGTCACTGCCTGCTTTCCCAAGTCTTCAGGTCTATTAATCTAAGAAAAAAGAAAAAATGGGCAGAAAGGTGGTTAAAATTGCAACAGTCATGTTTGTTTCTTAGATCAGTAAAGAAGAGATGGCTAGGTAATCAGGGCAGTGCAATGTTAGGTTGTGTTTAAGGTGCCCCTCAACCAGAATCCCCACAGAGTCAAAAACCTCATTCTGTCCTAATCTCTTCACTGATTTTTTTTAAGGAAAAGGTGGAGGCTAGTATAACAATATAATTTAAAAATAATTAAAGATTTTACTAGTTGGATGAAAAATTACAAGGGCCCCGCTTATGGACATATATATTATCTAAGATGGCCTTCATTTGCCCTTTTTAAAGATCATTCATTAAGGCATTATTTTTTTAAGGAAACAGATGATAAAGGCTACTCTGCAACCAAAAATGATGGACCTGGGAATTCTGAAAACATTTCTGACAGGTAGGAGTTTAAAGCACATCAAGATTATTGATTAGCATTTTAGGATATTGGTGCTGTACTTGCCAGGTCATTGTTTATGTAGCGATAGTTGTCTTTTGCAAGGAGGTTCTAAACTGTGCATACAGCTCACTGGTATGATGTTCCTTGGGGCTTATCTTTCCTTTTAAAAAGGCTCACTTTTGAAAATGTGTAAGAAAGCAGAGCCTCTTCGCTTTTTCTTTCTTTTCACAGCAAAAGAAGTATAGCCATGCTCATGCCAGTGCAATGTTCTGTATCAAGGTTGGTTCTCCTTTACATATTTCTTGGAATGACGGTGTGACCATGCAATACTGCACAGAGGAATAGTCCCAGGAGATGGTGCTGTGTGGAAGGGATACGAAGATCAGTCCTGTCGCTATGCTTCTTAACATCTATATGAAGCCATTAGAGGAAATCTTCAGGAAGTTTAAGCTGAAGAGTCATTACTATACAGATAGTCCTCACTTACCGACCACTCATTCAGCGACCGCTGAAAATATAATTTTATGGCCCATTTACAATCATTTATGACCTTCACGGCATCCTTAGTCATGTGATTGCCATTATAGTCAGTATGCACTGTGCCTGACCTGTGGTTTTTTCTTTCTTTTTCCCCTTGCAGAGCAGAGAGATTAGAGAGAGAGAATGCAAGAAAGAAAGCTGTTTGCTCTTCTACACATCAAAAGCAATGTGATGCAATGCAGTACTCTCTTGAAATCTCTTTCTCTCCAATCTCTCCTCTCTGTGAGGAGGGGGGAAGAAAAAAAGGCAAGCCATTTCTGTAGGTGATCTCTCCTTTGCCTGACCCTTCCCCCCTTCTCCCCCCCAGCGCAAGC